CTTGAACTCTGGGCCTGGGCGCTGTCCCTCAGCTCTTCAGCTCAAGGCGAGCGCTCTACCACTTGAGCTACAGCGCCACTTCCGGTTTTCTGGTGGTTTGTTGGAGATAGGAGTCTCATGGTCTCTCCTGCCCTGGCTGGCTTTGAACCGCGATCCTCAGATCTCAGCCTCCTGAGTAACTAGGATTACGGGCGTGAGCCACCAGCGCCCGGCTTGCTGCCTTGCCTTTGCAGTGCTTCCTAGGGTGGACCCAGAGTTTTGCCCAGGCAGGAGTCGGGGAGCTTGTGGGGAGCAGGGAGCGGCCCTGCGCTGTGGCCCCGGGAGCTCTGGGGTTGCCGTGGGCCTGCGTGGTTTGGTGTGCTCTCCCGCTCACTGCTCTGGCTCTCCGTGCTGTGCAGTGCCGTCCAGGCCCCCCGTGCGTGGCGCTGTGGCTCGCTTCCCAAGTGTGCCGCCCTCCGTTGCCGGGAAGCCACACCGGCCAGCGCTGGCCGCACTGCTGACCTGCACCCTCGGGCCCGCGCGTCCCGGGCTCTGAGCGCCCCCTCTCACTCTCTATTCTTAGTAATTTTTTCAGTCAAAATATCATAAAACATTAGTAATGACGGTCTTAGGTGGGGTCAGTCAGTGCTGTCATCGCAGCCTTTACCTTACAGAGTCCGCGTCTTTATGAATGGGATAAATTAAAGGATAAATTAAAATAAATTAAAACAAAGCAGTTTTCCTCCTAGCCGGGAGAAGAGAGTGAGAGAGAGACAGAGACAGGAAGAAGAGAAGAGAGAGAGAGAGAGAGAGAAAAGCAAGGGGCGCTGGAAATCTGGAGTGGTCCTTGTGTGCCTTGAACTCCGGATGTTTTTCATCGACCCAGTCTTCTCCATCTGTCTGTCAAATAGAATTATCAAAGAGGTAAAATGAAAAGGCTGAGTGTATCCTTAGAACTCTAATTAAAAGCCAGAAGTGGAGGAGTCTCAAGTGGTAGACTGCCAGCCTTGACTGAAAAGCAAGAGCTCCTGAGTTCAAGCCTCAGTCCCCCCTCCCCCCCCCATTAAAAATGAACCCTGTGATAAGAAGCTGAAGTAAAGATGTGGCGCTGTCTGTGGGGCCGGGGCCAGCTCATAAACCAGTGATGGGTCTTCTGTTTTAAACACAGACTGCGGCTGCCCCATTGTTCAAAGCTTCTGATCCAGGATTCTGGTATTTTTGAAGCATGGCTTTAGTGTAATGATTGAAATGCTTTATTGGAAACACACACACATCCCCAGTGTGATAAATGTGAGGATGATGATGGGTAACAGCACGCGGCTCCCTGCAGGACTTAGCCACCCCGGAGGTTCTCCCGAAGATGCCGCAGCCACCAGCTCTGGCTGCAGTGAACTGAGTGTGTCTGTCTGTCTGTGTAACCACACAAAAGTGGCAAGCGTGAGCCATCCTTAGAGGTCACACAGAAGACGAGAGCCAGTATTCCCAGAAACAGTGTGGTTGGGTTTCTTTAAAAAAAATGTGCAGAAACTGTGTTTCTGGAGAGGAGGGTTCAAGTTAGAAGCAAGCAGAATACCACACACATAACCACTTGTTTGGGGAAGGACATGTGACTGAATTTGAACACAAGCCTCTTAAGTATGGAACTTCTCCTAGAACATCAGAAACACACTGTGCAAAGAGCTTGTTGAAGGCCACTCAGCCTTTGTTTATGGCCTCTTCACTCACCCTCCCCCACTCACCCCGCCCTCCCCCACTCACCCCACCCGCGCCCTGGGCTCAGGCCGAGGCTGACTGTCCTGGCGGGGCAGGCAGTGGTGGAGCTGCTCACCTCCACCAGCTCCCTGCACACCCGGTCACCTGGCTTCCCCTCGGGAGGCTCCGCCCCTCAGGGTCCGCCTCCCAGTAATGCCACAGGCTGGCCCCTAACCTCAATGCATGGCCTTTAGGGAACATTCTGGATGTAAATCATGTCCAATCATCCACCCATCATCCATACATCTTTTATCTATCATGCACCCTTCCATCTGTCCACCATCTACCCACTCATCCAGAGCAGGAGGCCAGGAGGGAGGAGCCCGGGCTGGATGCGAAAGTATAGCTCTGTTTAGCTATGAGGATGGGAGTGGCAGTGTGTGTGCCTGCATGCCCCCACACACACACACACACACACACACACACACACCCAGCAGGTAGGAACAAGGGGGTCAGGGCTGCCAACACGGTGTGCATTTTTCCCCCACCGGAAACGAAACAGGAAGAAGCAACTTTCTGGAATGGGTGTTTCTGTTACTGAGACCACAGTTCTTGGCCAGCTCTGTTTAGGGGTACACTCCTTTAGTGCAAAATAAGGAGCCCATCAGATTCAGTTTTGCTTGTATAATTGAAACACACATTTCCTCCATTTAGAGCTGTAATTGTGGGCAGCAGCCTGGTGTGGAGAGGCGCTGGGCGGGCGGGCTGCCCACACTTGCCGCCAGTCCGTCTACCCCAGGCCACCTGCAGTGCGATTTTGTGTGTGGTTTAGATGAGGGGAAGACTCAGCCTGCCCAGGTAGCAAGGAGGCCATCTGGGGCTCACACCCAGCTTTCTCTGGCATGAAAGCTTAATCATTTCCCATTGTGCCATGCTCCTTCCCTGGAGAAAAGGTAGTCTGGTCTTTCAATCAAATAAAAATGCCGAGGAGGAATTAAAAGCTACTGCAAAGAGGCCAAAGTGAAATCAGCGTAGAGAGCCAGCCAGCCTTCTCCTTCCTGCATCCGTCCGTCCATCCTTCTATCCATCATCTATGCATCCAGTATTCATATATCCTTCCGTCCATCCACCAGCCATCTATCCATCCACTGGCCATTACCCAGACATCCTTTTATCTGTCATCTGTCCTTCCGTCCATCTATTCATCCATCCATCTAGCCACCCACCCACGCACCCATCCATTACCTGTTGAGGCAGCTGCGCTTCTTCCTCTACCCCGTCTGGGCTCTGCTGAGTTCGTTCCTTCCACACGAGGGCAGTCTCGGCAGGCGGGTGTGCCGGTCACCGTGCTTCCTGTTTGGAAGGAGTGGTTCTGGACTGGGCACAGGCTCCGTGCGCGTAGGTTCTTAGGCTATCTTCATTCTAGGTCCAGGGCCAGGTGCCGTGCATGTTGACTCGTGCTATCTTCATTCTAGATCCAGGGCCAGGTGCCGTGCATGTTGACTCATGCTATCTCTATTCTAGGTTCAGGGCCAGGTGCCGTGCATGTTGACTCGTGCTATCTCTATTCTAGATTCAAGTGCGGGCGCTGTGCCTGAGGCTCTTCTGCTACTTCATTTAGCCACAGTCCTGCAGACAGGTCTTTCTGATTCTGTGAATGAGGAAATGATGGCCAAGAGTGGGGAAGAAGGTTCTCCAGGCCCCTGGCAGGGTCCGAGGCCGGGGCTCCTCACATCCCACTGGCAGGGTCCGAGGCCAGGGCTCCTCACATCCCACAGGGCCTGAGCGGGGGCTCCCCAAGTCTCATTGCACCAGGGTCCCCCACCCAGCACTCAGCTGCCATCCAGGTGACCGGAGCCTTCAGCAGGATGCACAACTCAGAATCCTGCCCTTTGCGCACCTCCTCCCTCCCACCGCGGGCCCTCCCTGTCTGCTCCCCTCACGGAGAGACCGCGATGGGGTTCCCGGCTGCTGTCTCTGGGACTCCTCCTCCCTGGCGCCCCTGCCCCGTCCTGTGGGGCCCTCCTGCTCATGCTCGCTCCTCGGCCATCTTGCTCAACCTTGCGCTTTCTCCTGCAGTCCCGGGCGCTCGGTCTTCCCCCTTTCACCCTGGGCTTCTTGTTGGTTTTTGTGCCTGCTGTGCCGTATCACTTGCCTCCATGTTCTGTGAGCCCAGCCCAGGAGCCCGCATGCATTTCCCACCGTGGCCCCGGAGTCCTGGGTGGCAGGAGGCTGTGCAGCACTGGTCTGACAAGTAAATGAGCCAGGTGGACAGGGTCTACCTTCATTGTGGGCCCCCCCACCCCCCTGGCCTTTCTCCTCACAGTGTAGGCCTCTGTTCCTCACAGGTGATCAAGGAAGCCTACAGCGGCTGCGGAGGCCCCTCAGAGCCCGAGTGCGCCCCCCTGCCCGGCGCGCCCGTGCACAAGGTGGAGCTGGAGAAGGTAAGGTGCCCCTTCCGGGGGGCTTCGCTCGTCTCTTTGCCTCGGTCGTTGATTCTTAGTGATCGTGCACATTCGAGAGCTGCAGTGTGACGTTTCTGTACACCGCCGGCCTTGGGCTTCTGTTTCGTTGCACCGAGAATGTTTATGTTGCTCAGAGTTCAACGCCGTTCTCTGGCCGCTTCCATACTGCTGTTGGCAGGGAAGCCACGGCCCTCACTCCCTGGCCCCATGTGTCTTCAGGGCCTAGAGTCATCTCCCACACAGGGCTGCTTGTTTTGTTCCCCACGATGCAGGCAGGTGTGGGCAGAGAGGGTGAGGGTCTCCTGCAAAGTCACGTAGCTACTCAGTGGGCCCCGATCGAGACTGGTTCCTTACAGAACACAGCAGGAGCTTCATAAATGCGCCTTCCCAACGCTCGCCCCCCGGCAGGCCCCAGCTCCATGCTCGCTCCCACTGTGAGGCAGAGCACCGGGTGGGGCTGCTGCCCCACCGCCTCAGAGGTGTGGAACCCGAGCCGGGCCCTGTGCCCAGAGCTGCTGCTTGTCTGCCTATAGCCGGGGACCTGGCTTTCCATGTGAAGTTTTCTCTACACATACACACTCTATATATACACACACACCTTGACCTCAGCAGTGGACAGGGTCTGCCGAGGAGCGTGTTGGGCGTGTGCGGGGCAGGAGGAGACTTGGGCAGATTCAAGTCAGCCCCCGCAGTGTGGGTCACAGGCTGGGACCTGGGAGAGTGCACGGTGCTGTCCTGTGCTGGGGAATCCCTCCTGCCCGGGGAGCTCGGGTCTCCACCAGGTTGGGGAGACACCCACACCGCGGAGGGAAGGGGCTTGTTCACAGTTCTTGGGTTTTAGTCACCAGACAGACACATAAAACCAGCCATAGCAACAATGGACCCTGACTACAAAACCTCTTCCTGCTCACTGTGGAGACCCCGGGAAGTTCTGAGAGAGATAAATGGGGGGACTGTCCTCGAAGGCCAGGGTTCCGTGTCTCTGCTCGTTCCAAGGGCTGCAGGGCACAGGGAGGAAGTTCCGTGGGTCATGGGTGACTCACTGCCGCAGCTGGGAAGCGTTTTCACAATCCTAACTGTTCCAGAACTGGGTGGAGCGTTCTGAGCCCCAGTCCTGGGACCCAGCCACGCTCCTGGCCCTCTGTGTGGCCGGGCCTCGGCCCCGCCCTCCACGGGACCACTGTGGGGTAACGTGGCCCTCGAATCCTTACAGAAACTGTCCTCGGAGAGACCCAGCTCCGACGGGGAGGGCGTCGTGGAGAATGGTGTCGCCGCGTGCAATGGGAAGGAGCAAGGTGAGTGTCCGCCCCGCCACAGAGGACAGACGCGCGGTTCTGCGCAGCACAGCCGCCGGGCTCCCCTCACAGGTCACCCTGTGTGTCTCGCGACACAGCCCTGGTTGCCCCTGCCATCCGGACCCTGGCTGTCTTCACTCCTCCCCAGGGGCTGTGTTGCCCCTGAGTCCTGCTCAGGCCCTGCTCCCAGTGACTCGACACCACCCGCTCCCTGCTCCCGGCGCCCCGCGTCCCAGATGTCCCTGTGGATGTTGCGATGGACAGCCTTTTGGGACTTGCTTGTTTCCCTGGCTACGTGCCGTCGCCGGGGTCAGACTTGCCTTCTCCTTGTAGCCTTCTCAGGGAGGCTCAGGCTGGAAAAGCACCACTGAGCAGAATTCGCATCCTGGATCAGCATCCCGGGATTCTCTCCCACTTAGCAGCTCTGGCAGTCCCTCTGCCAACTTTATTTCCTGCTGACTTACCCCTGCGTTTTATGAGCTCTAGTGTAGGGGTTTTGAGTTTTGTTGTTTATTTGTTTTTGGGTGCTGGTCCTGGGGCTTGAGCTTTTTTGTTCAAGTCTAGTGCTCAAGCCACTTTTAGATTTTTTTTTTTTTTTTGG